TTCAAGAAAGCCTATGATTAAGTTAAGGGGGAAGTATTGTACAATATTTTAATAGAGTTTGGGATACCCATGAAACTAGTTAGGTTGATTAAACGAAACGTATAGTAAAGTCCGTATAGGTAAACATTTTTCTGATAAATTTCATATCCAGAATAGTCTAAAACAAGGAAATGCTTTATCGCCACTCCTTTTCAACTTTGCTTTAGAATATGCCATTAGGAAGGTCCAGGGAAACCAGGTGGGACGGAAATTAAATGGGACACATCAGCTGTTGGTCTATGCTGATAAAGTGAATCTACTGGTTGATACTGTAGAGACCATAAAGTGAAACATGCCGGTCATGGTAGCCGAGCGGTCTAAGGCATGCACTGTCTTCGCTCACTCGGAAGCCAAGATCGTGGGTTCGAATTCCACTCAGGACATGGATGTTTGTGTGCGTTTTTCTATGTTTGTCTACAGGTAGAGGCCTTGCGACGAGCTGATCACTCGCCCAAGGAGTCATACGGTATGTGTAAGATCTAGAAAAACCGGAGTGAACGTAGTTCATGGAGGTAGGCCTAGGCCCACTGGGGCTGTAGTGCCAAGGAAAAGAAAAAAGAGAAACATACAAACTCTAATTGACACTAATAAGGAGGTTGGTATAGAAGTAAGCACAGAGAAAACTAAGTATATGTTTCTGTCTCGTCACCATAATGCAAGGCAATATCATGACATGAAAATAGGAAAGAGATATTTGGGAACAACGATAACAAATCAAAACCTGATTCAGGAGGAAATTAAGAAGCGATTGAACTCAGGCAATGCTTGCTACCATTTAGTCCAGAACATTTTGTCTTCTCGTCTGTTTTCTAAAAACTTAGAAATCAGAATATACAAAACTACAATTTTGCCTGTGGTTCTGTATGGGTGTGAAACCTGGTCTCTGGCTTAAGGGAGGAACACAGACTGAGGGTGTTTGAGAACAGGGTGTTGAGAATATTTGGACCGAAGAGAGATGAAGTGACAGGAGGTTGGAGAAAACTGCATAATGAGGAGCTTCATAACTTGTACTCTTCTCCAAGTATAATTAGAATGATCTAGTCAAGGAGGATCAGGTGGGCAGGGCCTGTAGCACGAATGCGGAAAGGAGGAATGCATATAGAATATTGGTGGGAAAGTCAGAAGGAAAGAAACTACTAGGAAGACCAAGACGTAGGTGGGTAAATAATATAAAAAATTTATCTTAGACTTATAGGTTGGGATAATATGGGCTTGATTGATCTGGCTTAGGATAGGGACCAGTGGAGGGCTCTTGTGAACACGGTAATGAACCTTTGGGTTCCATAAAATGCGGGGAAGTTCTTGAGTGGCTGCACAATTGGCAGCTTCTCAAGAAGGGCTCAGCTCCATAATATTAGTTATAATACGCTGAATTAAATTATTTTTAACTACGTAATATGAGTGTATGTATGTATATTGGACCTTACGTTATTGCCTGCTGTGATGTGTCCAGCCAGTAGCTGCTTGGAGCGCTGAGAGCTGACTGAGGTATTAACAGGCGGTCTGAGTTACCGCAGACTGTAAGTTTGAATGTGAGTTGGGTGGAGGTGAAGGAAGTGGGTTCGGTGGTCGTAGGGC